TCATAATCTCTATCATTATCATTAAGAAACACATATAACGTCATATGGTTCATGTAACACATTTCAAACCACTTACTTTTAATAACCATTTATAAACCTATCGTATACATATCACATTCAATATGTTTGTTTAATCTCTTTATTAGCCCATGTACACTAGTGAGAACTTAAGGTATGTGAGTACATTGAGGTTGTGCACACATATGCTGTCACCACAGCTCGATCAATGTCCCGAAGGACCTATCCAGATAAATCATTGAACTAATCCATTCTTCTACTTTAATCACCAAATTTCTGAAACTTTACCATTTAGTCACTAACCCATAGTTTGGGATGTTACACAATCACCCTACTAAAGTCGTTGATGCACAAATATGTGACATCACTTAGATAAATTGGTTCGTTTTATTTAAGGGCTATTATCAATTGGTATTGTTAGCATTCTTTTTATTTAAGGACTATTATCTAGGGCTATTGTCAATTGGTATTGTTAGCATTCTTTTTATTTCAGTCGGTTAATTTTGGGTTCGCTCGGTTAACAGTTAATTTTTTTTTTAAATTTTGATTTCGGTTAATTCGGTTCGAAATCGGTTAATTAACCGAAATTATTAAATATTTAATATTATATATATATATATATATATATTATTTAGCTTTAGGGGTGTTTGAACTCGGTTTTTACCGAATTAACCGACCAAATTTACCACATAAACCAAAAAAATATTAAATATTAAATATATATTATTTATAAAATTCAGTTAATTTGGTTAATCGATCAATTAATCGAACTTAGTTTTGTTCGATTATTTTTTTTAGAAAAAATGTGGTTCAGTTAATGAAAAAAAATCGATTAATGAAATTTGGATAATTTGGTTCTTTCGGTTAACCGAATTACCCGTTTGAATACCCCTACTATTATCGATTGGTATTGTTAGTATTCTTTTTATTTAAGGACTATTATTTGGTATATTGTTTATGTGGGTGTATTTGTGAGTGAATATATTTTGGCTTAAATATATATTTGTTATTTGAATCATGTATCTTCTTTCACGTTGGTATTTAAAGAAATTTTATTCTCGAGTTGGTATCTGAAACTAGACACATTACTTTAAGTTGATATCTAAAGAACTTTTGCTCCTATATTGGTAGGATAAATCAAAACAACAAATATGTCAAAAAAATCAAGTATCATAGTAAAAATCCATATAGCTAGAAAATTACATCATGAATAAAACCTATTTATTAACAGTTATTATTTTAATTTTAAAATTTAAAATATTAACTCTTAAATAATATATCTAAATCCAAAATAAGACATGACATTAAAATAGATAAGATGCGTATAAAGAATTCCCATTCTTAATACGAGATGTACGTTACAATTACTAACTCGTGTATTAATTAACATTTGTTTATATGGACAACAAGTTGTCTCTTGGTCATTATTTGTCTTCACTTGATGCTATCGATTATCAAATCAAACAGCAATCCTGGCAATTCCTAAATTGAAGGCCAATCTAACCACCAAATACACAATCGCATTCGAATCCAAATTGTCCACTGCTTAAACAATTCGAAACATGGCAAGAACTAATTGGCGAACTTGAAAGAAAGACTTGACCCATGGGGCTCAAAGCACAGCAATAATAAAATAAAGAAGATCAATCGAAGCATTGCTGTATTTAGCTGGATGGCAACCGACGTTGTGAAAGATTTGTCATGGCATTAAAGCATTAATTTAATCATTAAGCAACTTGCTTAATCACATTATTCATTTATCCCCTTTCCTGGGGTCGGTCATGGTGTGTCGATTATTGCGATATGACCCTCATCAAATCTTACATTGCCACTTTTAAGTTTCTTTTGCTGATATAATATAATTAATTTGTGGTTAATTTGAAGCTCACGTGAACGATAATGTCCAGCTTCAATATCCCGTAGTCCGCTAGTAGATTGTTATTTGTTGGCATGTAATTAAGGGTGGGTTTAGATCTCTAATTAGGGCACTTGGATTTAAAATTGTTGGACACTTGGACTTAGATAAATAAAAGTTTTATGTCAAATCCAAGACGTATGATAGAAAATTAAGTCCGTGATTTCATTAATTCTGAGGACTTGTATAACTGTCAAATATGTGCCTACGTTTTTCTTTTTTTCTAATACGATACATAGTTGCGGAGCCATATATTGGTCAAATTAACGTGTTGATTTTAAAATTTGAATTTTTTATTTTACTGATGATACATATTCTAAATTGTTTTGTATTTATCCTAAAAATTGAGATTTCTTTTATTAAATATTTATTTTACAGATAATGTCTACCTGAAATTTATTTATATTCATCTTATTTAAAAATTTTATAACGTTAATATATGTGTTTATCTTAAAAAAAAAAAAATTAGATCTACCACCGACGAAACGTACATGAGTGTTTAAGAGATGGTTGTGGAGTCCAGGAGTTCCAAAATCCCAGCAAAGTTTTTGTCTCTATATCCTGCGACCGACGTGTCGTACTTGTTATTGAAAAAAGGCTGCAAGCGTACCACAGCAACCCCATATTACACTGTTTAGCCAATGGTACACCATAAGACTAAGAGAGCGTCGGAAAATGAAGTGTACTTTTAGGTACTTTTGGTTTTCGGGGGGCATGCTATCCTATTCCCCCACGGACATTAGGGTAGGACCTCCCTTTCTTTTCTTCTTGGTAGAGGTCCTCTTCTTACTGCGTCGGAATTGCCCCTATTTTTACAAAACAATTTCAAATATTTTACATTTAATATAGCTTTGGTAAAATAAGAAAATTTAGTGACACTTAAAGTCACCCACAGTTATTATTAATAATTTTAAGGTTTAATATTAAATAAGTATTTAAGTTATATTTAAAATTAACTTTTGTTGTTTAGGGAATTTTTAATTAAAACAAATGCTTAACGTATTCTCCATTTCACTTGAGTACCCTGACCTTAATGACAGTTAACTGCCACTGCCACCCCTTCCTCAATCCCATGTCGTAGCTACCTTCCCCTGTTTGCAACGTTGGGGTCACCCCAACCACCACGTATGAACCCGACCCTCATGTATGAACATCAACGAATTGATTTCTAGAATCGATTGGAATTTCGAAATTTTATGTTTGGTATTCAGGGATTTAAGGTTTTTGATCTAAGGATTTCTATATCAATATTGGGCAGAAAGTAAAAGGTTTCGGTTGGCGATAGACCGACCAACAATAGTGGTGAGGTCAGTGAGGAAGGGGGATTAAAATTATATATATTAGGAATTTTAGGGTTTATTTTTGTAATTTTGTAAAGTATAATTATAATTTTTTTTAATTTAAATAAAAATTTTATAAACGTGACATGTATTAGTTAACGACCAAATTTAATGTTAGACACCTAAAAATGTAACATAAAAAACTTTAGACACCTATTTTGAACAAAAATTCTTTAGACACCTATTATCAATTTTGAGTATAATTTAGACACTTATTTTATATTGAACCTAATTTTTATGAAGTTATTAATAGTTGTTGATACATTTTATATTAACAATTATTAATTAATTAAATATTAATTTAATTAGTGTGATTATTGTTGTAATCAGAGATGGATTAAGGGATGGGTGGGGACGGTTTTCTACTAAAAAAAATTCAAATTCTTATATATTTTAGACATATTTTTAATTAAAAATATACTTTTACCCATCTAAATTATAAGTTCATCCCCTTAAAATTTTACAAGTTTGTTTTTTCTCACATAAAATCTTATATACGTCCTTTATTGTAATATCCATAAATTTATAGGTTTGACTATATTTAATTTAATTATTCTTATTTTAAAGATTTAGTAAGTATGAGAATTTAAGGATTGTAATTTCTTTAAAATGTAATATATATTAAATTGTTTCTATAAAATTAACTAATTAATAATAAATGTTGGATTTAGACGATAGTGAATAACTGTAATCAAGGATAGACGTATAATTTATGTATGTGTGAACTTAAGAAATTATATTAAAAATGTTGAGGGGTGTTGAGACATAAAATTTTAGAGGATATGCAATTAGATAATCAATAAAAAATCAAAGAAAAATCTAAAATATAATAGAATTTAAATTTCTAGGGGGTGCGGTCGATCCATTCGTAATTGCAATATGTACAAAGCAAATTATCTCAGTGATTAAGAGATTGTTATTATTTTTGAGATCTTAGGTTCAAACATCGGGCTTGTTTAAATATATAAATATTCATTGTCGAATGATTGGAAATATTTCAAACAAATATTATTTTATATTCACCTCATATTAATAAAAAAAAACTTGCAAACAAGGTAAATTCTAAACAAATCAAAAGGAATTATGCCAGATGTTATAATTAACTTCCCAAAATAATACTAATTAGCATTAAATATTAAATAATTACCATAAATTGTATAGATCTTCATGCTAATATTTCACAATTAAATCATTTAATAATTAGTTTTAAATTTTGAAATACTTAATTTAGCCAAAGATGTGAATGCACATTTAAAAACTATAACAAGGAAAGTGTGCCTTTAAAAGAAGTGTATATTAATTGAAAAATAATTAGAAGACCGTTAAATTTTGTAGAGCTCCCAAAAAAGGTCTACATTGCGTTATTTCTTGACTATCCAGTTCAATTGGTAGAGCACAAGACTCTTAATCTTAGAGTCGTGAGATTGAGTCTCACGGAAGACATTTCATCATTTGGAAGTCTCTTACGGAAGCTGCTCTCAACCTGACGTTGGGGCAGCCAACTATCCTACCTCTCACTTACTCTATTTTTACATATGAAAATAAGGGTTAACTAATTGCGTTATTTCCCCTATTTGTTGAGTATACGGCAGATAAAGGAAGGTCCATCTATGGCAGTTAGTAACGGTTCTAGAGAATTATTTCTTAAAGCGGGTAAAGATATGCCAGAAAAATAATAAAAAAATTATAAATGCGGCAAAAATTTATCAAAAGAATTCGTCAAAAAAGAATAAGTAAAATAAAGAAAAGATGCTCCGTTCTGCTAACAAGAAAAAGCTGAAGACAAATACAGAGTAGACAGAGGAAGGAGTAGAGAATTTGCTTTCAAAGAGGAAAAAATATGTTATTTTTAATATCTGAGGCTTCTTAGTTCTGTTTTTGGCTATCAACGTCATTGTTTCTTTGTACGGCTTTTACTCGCAAAGCTTGTTTCTTTTTTCACGGTTTCAGCTTCCGATTATCTCTCACTTTCGATCTTTGTCTTTTTGCCTTTTTATTTTGCTTTTTAGGGGGTTTGGCTCTCTGGTTCTATTTCCAAGTTAAATAAAAGCAGTGGATTAAATTGAAAGGATCGAAAGCATTGGCTTTCCGATATCCGTTTTCGCTTTGTTTTCTCGTCTGGTTTGTTTCAATTGCTTATTTTATCAGTGACTATGGAGGAGAAGATGGGTGGTTCCAATGTTGAAGATGGCGGCAAAGACCGGTTTCCAATTGGTATGCGTGTTTTAGCCGTTGATGATGATTCTATTTGCCTCAAAGTTTTGGAAAATCTGCTTCGTAAATGCCAATACCATGGTTAGTGGTTCTTTTTCTTTTGATTTCTGTTGAAAGTTTTCTTTGATTATTTTGTCAAAGGTCTTGTTTTGAACTTCAAATTTTTTGATGGATTCTGATAAGTTACGTGTCCGGCTTTCTGGTATTCTGGAGAAGAAAAAAAATCATTGATCCGAAAATTTTTCATTTATTGTTTTCAAAATGTTAAATAAATTGCCTCACATGTGTTTCTATCAGGAAGATTTGTGCCATGCTTTGAAGTATGCGTTTTGATTTGAATCTTTGTGATTGCAGACTTGTAGTATGCAAGGTTTGACTTTTAATAATTGAGCTTCTTTTTTACTATCGTTTATGGTATATTTTTTCTGCAGTTACAACAACAAATCAGGCAATTACGGCCCTCAAAATGTTGAGGGAAAACAGAAACAGATATGACTTGGTTATTAGTGATGTTAATATGCCAGACATGGATGGCTTTAAGCTTCTTGAGCTTGTGGGGCTTGAAATGGACCTACCTGTTATCAGTAAGAATTAACAGCTGAATTTTACTCATTTGTTTGTGGAATGAATGGATTGTGTAATATTTTTGGTGAAGTTTCAGTAGTAATAAGCCTATAATTACTCTGGATCTAAATATGACTGATTTTATTATAATTGTTTCAGAATGATTTACCATATTGTATTTCTGTTGATGAATTTCCAGTGTTGTCAGCTCATAGCGATACCAAGCTCGTAATGAAGGGTATCAGTCATGGTGCTTGTGACTACTTATTGAAGCCTGTTCGCATTGAGGAGCTCAAAAACATATGGCAACACGTTGTGAGAAAAAAGAAACCTGACTCGAAGGATCACAGCAATTCTGCAAATCAAGATAAGGCTCATGGGGGAACCGGTGAAGCTGGTCCGACATCAACGTCCATTTCTGACCAAAAGGTCAATAAGAAACGGAAGGACCAAAGTGAAGATGAGGATGAAGACGATGAAGACAATGGACATGAGAATGAGGACTCTTCCACTCAAAAGAAGCCTCGGGTTGTTTGGTCTGTAGAGCTGCATAGGAAATTTGTTTCAGCTGTCAACCAATTGAGTCTTGATAGTGAGTTTTCCACTGTTGAGATTAGTGTCTTTTGTTCTGAACCAGTGATCCTTATGCCACTGCAATTTTTTTCCTTTTTACCACCTTTTCTCTTTTCTTTAAATGCAGAGGCTGTTCCGAAGAAAATTCTCGACCTTATGAACGTCGAAGGGCTCACAAGGGAAAATGTAGCAAGCCATCTACAGGTAATCTCCTTTCCTGTATGTTGTTTACATTCCGCATTATGATTCCCATATGCTGCTTACTATCTTATGTTGTCTTGCAGAAATATAGACTTTACTTGAAAAGACTCAGCAGTGTTGCAACTCAACAAGCTAACTTGGTTGCTGCATTAGGCAGTAAAGATCCGTCTTACTTGCGCATGAGTTCACTGGATGGCTTTGGGGAGTTTCGCACATTAACCGGACCTGGAAGGCTTTCGAGTGCTTCTCTATCATCTTATCAGCCAGGTGGACTGTTTGGGAGACTGAACTCCTCAGCTTCTTTAAGTCTGCGTGGGGTTTCTTCTGGTGCCGTTCAACCGGGACATTCTCAAATGTTGAACAATTCGATCAATGGTCTTGGAAAGATCCAGCCAGCTGTGTTATCTGCAAACCAGAATCAAAATGGAACTTTGTTTCAGGGGATCCCAACATCGATGAATCTCAACCAGCTGTCACAGAACAACTCCAGTAACCCCTTTGGAGAATTTAATCATGTTAACGATCCTAATGTTTTTGGTGTCGGTATGAACTTCCCCGATGCCAGAGTGACGGTTGTTAGCTCTAGTAATACTGTACCTACCGGCTCAGGCAACCCTTTGTTGTTACATGCAAACACACAACTGAAACATAGTGGTGCATTTGAAAATCAATCGACTCTTGGCGTGACATCTCTGAATCAGGAATCATTTGACATGCATGTTCGTGGTTCTAATTTTATTGATCATGGTAGATGCAGTGAAAACTGGCAAGGTGCGGCTCAATTATCAAGTTTCCCATCAAATTCATTGTCAACGAGTGAAGCTTTCAATCCCGAGCAATTGCCAACTAATGATTTGCAAGGAAGCATTTCTTGGGCAAGCTCTCACCTTAGTAACAGCCATCTTGATCTTACTTCTCTCATGGCGAATTCAGCGAGTTTGGAGGACTCTAGGGGAGACATATCCCATGTTGGTCTAAATAATAACGTAATTCAGAATTTTGACTATACAACAAAGCAACAGTGGGACGATCGGAGACACGATTACAATGGAAATATGAATCATTCATTCTGCAGAGTGGACTCCCTAGTTTCTGCAAGTGGACCTGTGGTGGACCAAAGCTATGTTGCCAACGATAAACTAGATGTTTCTTTGTTCAGTGGTGACGGTGTTTTGTTGTTTCTGCAAGTGGACCTGTGGTGGACCAAAGCTATGTTGCCAACGATAAACTAGATGTTTCTTTGTTCAGTGGTGACGGTGTTTTTGTTGTTCCACACCCCGAGGGTGAGAAATCCACTTTCGACACAAAATTGAGATCCAATGAGGACTTCCTCTTTGAGCAGACTAAGTCACAGAATGGTTTCAGTCAGAATAATTTCGAACCCTTGGAGCATATAATGATGTCCATGATGAAATCGGTAAGAAAAGATGACTTCCATTGCGCCTCCTAATTTCAAACTCTCGGATAAGTTTTTTAAAATGACTGTATTTTCTCTGATGCAGGACCAAAACAACGAGTCCCAAGTGATGGATGGGGAATTTGGATTTGAAGCGTACTCGCTCGGATCATGTATATGAGAAGGTTGATGCCGATTCTAAGATAAACAGTGGGTTGCTGATAGATGAAAATATCCTTTTCGGAATAGTGATGGCTCAGAGAAGATGAATCTACTGCTTCAACCATCTTTTCTTTTAATGTTTGCATCTCAAATTTCTTTTTTCTAACCTTTGGTTTTCATTTCACTTTTTCCCCAAAATCTGAATGGCTTGCAAAGATTCAAAGACAGATAAGGAAAGTTAACATCCAAGTTAGTGTTTTGGTCGAAGACCTGTGGGTTTTGGGCTTGCTTTTTTCAGTTTATTTTATTTATAACAAAGTTTTTTCTAAGATTGAGTTGACATAATTTGATATCAGTATGAGGGGAATAACCAGCAATTAGATGAGAATTTCTGCAAATTAGAGTTCAAGCTTCAAAATATTGATGGATTTCAACTTCTGTTGAATCCTTAATTTAAGCATGCCTGAGATCTAAATAATACTCCTGTAACCATTTCTGGATGATCTCAACTTCTTGCCTCCTCAGTTCCAGAAGCCAGTCAGGATCGTCTTTTGTTGTGGCCCGGAAATCGACATGGTGAGCTCCTAATGCATAACGTTGGTAAACTTTCTTTAAGTTCATAACAGCTGAAAATGTGTCAAGAAAATGTAGGAGGAAAAAATGCTTAATCGTAATTCACATACCTTGTTCTGTGACAAGAGCTATGATACTGGCAGATATATTTCTCAGCACACTGTACATAATTTGAATCATAGATCAGTTCCATTATGATTGAAATTGATGATAATATGGGCTCATGGAAATCGTAATCTAAGAAGCTAATCAAGCATATGGTTTCTAACTACTTACCCTCCTCTGCTCCATGGATCCTGCATACCATTGGAAAATATGATATTGCTACCAAATCTCTTCAGTACTTTCTCAAGTCTCTGCATTCGAAAAGAGGCATTAATAGTTCTAATCGTGTACACTGGTAATACAGACGGCATGTTTCTCAGACACGGTATATCTGAATAAAAATATACTCACTTCGCCACCAAATTCAGTTGTGATCCAATGTTGTCGAGGCAAAACTCCGTATTTCATTTGGCATTGTTCTGCAAACCTTTTATAATCAAAGCCAGTTGGAGGAAACATGCTCTCATTAGAGCAAGTCATTGGCATGACCATCTCTGTGCATGTCTGCAGAAATCATTCAGAGAATTACTTTATACACTGATGTCATCTCAAACATTACTACACAGAAAAGGTAATGGCAAGCTTTGAAATTGGCACATTTTGTATTAGATGCCAAAAAGAAGTTTACCTGCCAGTCCCACCCATGAAGGCCATGAGTGTCAATTTCGTGTTCTACCTCAAAGCAGTTTTCTGTTCGAGAATAATTGTAATATAAGCTTGCTGCTGCAAATGCGCGGCTGAGCTTTGTTGCTCCTGATGGAGATTTATCAATTATCTTGCACATCTACATGTAAAGAATGGTTTAAATGCCGAAAAGAAGAAATTGGTAAGAGATCTTCTAAAATTTTAGAACTTCGAGCTTGATGCAAAACAGCTTATTTACAAGTCTTACTTGCTGCACGGGATAAGCAGGTAATGGCTTCAAGAAATTTGCCTCAGTTGGATAGTTAACCATGGCTGTATAAACGAAAGCAGTCCATAGCCAACCTAGAACAGAAGCTGGTGAATGAAGGCTCCTGAAGAAAGAAATATGATTAATTATAGGGAAGGAAAAAATGTAAAATGCGTAACAAAAATTGCTTCAAAACATATAGCAATGCCAACTTTACACAACAATCTAACGATCTGAATCAAACTTAGCAAGCAAGTTTACTTAATATAATCTCAGTTCATGACTCACTTGCAGGTTCTGAAAGCTTTGCTTAGTTCAGCCAAGCCTTCTTTCTGAGTTGAAATTGCCTCCAGTTCTGCCCAGCTCCCCTTTATCACTTCATAGCAATTCTGGCTCACATCCTGAATTCTCTTTTTAGTTTTAGTTTTGAAGAACACTGAGAAATGTACAGTTCAAGCACAAAGTAATCTCTATGTGAGAACTAGGAATAGACCTTGAAATCCTGGGAAACAGCATCGTAGAAGCTCGACCATGGGATTATCTTATCAAACTGTAATATAGGGGCAGAAGAAGCCAGTGCACCAATTGCTATATGAGGGTATTTAAGCCTAAACCATGCTGCCAGCACTGTGATAAAAAGATGATTTTTTAACCATAATCATAAGAAAATGATAGCAACAATATACCAGTAATAACTAGCAGAAAAGGATGTTCTTGCTAATTACTGCTACCAATATCAGAGCAATAAATTCTTCCTGCATGGGGTTTCTTTTTTAACTTACTTCCTCCATAAGACCCACCAAAGACCACCACTGGGGATGCTTCAGATGACAGGTTCTGCTTCAAGCTCCTTATCAGAACAGCGAAATCAGCCAAGGCTTGCTGTGAAGTTAAGTACCCCAAGGTCTTTGCTGACTCGTATGAGTCTTTCCCAAATGGCATTGACTCCCCATAAAATCTATGCTGCAAATTTCCAAATAGAAACAAACCCAATAACCCATTAATCTTAGGTACAAAAAGAAAGGGAAAAATCATGTTTTGTACGAGATTTGGGTTTCACAATTTGCTTTCGGTATTGGAAAAACGGCCACAGGGTTAGAGCAGAGCAATGCATTTTCTGTGTTCTTAAAACTGTGAGTATTCCCCAAGAACCCATTTTTTTTTCAATTCAGATAAAAGAATTCCGAGAAAGTGATTAAGCAGACGTTACTTCAATGAAGACAATGAGAGCTTTGAACTTGGGAGCAATGTCGAGCATGAACCCAGTGTTAGCAGCAAACCAGTCGATATCCCCTTCATTTCCAGTGTAGACGAAGATAGGAGCCTCTTTATGCCAGTACTGAGTGTTAATTAGGTACTTTTGGTAGAAAATTTTATAGCTCTTGGGCTGGAAAGTGAAATGGTCTAAAGTTTGAGGGAAGTAATGAGTCTTGAATGGAAGATTTGGTTTTGGAGCCTTGGGTTGTTTGGTCAAAGACTGATACGCAGCAGCTCGAGGGAAAAATGTTGGCAATGAATTGGCTGGTGCTGTTACTGTTAGTGTTACATGAAGGGCGATGACGAATAGAAAGAGAAGAGATTGGCAAGGTGACATTGCTGCAGCTGGTTCTTGGCTGCTAACTCCTTTTCACCCAAAAATATAACTTGATGAATTTATGTACAAGGATGGTTATGGCATGGACCATGATCCATAATGTATGCTAGACATTTTTTATTTTTATTTTTGAGTTGTCAGCTACCTACCGACAGCCAACCGAGGCAAACAATGGCAGATTAACCGGTCATTGGAGAAAGTTTCTCTAGTAAATAAACTGATACAGTAGAATATCATTTGATTCCAAGTTTCCAACTCTCTGGCATCGACATTGGTTTCATTCTTTTTTGGGGTAATTTCTGGTCTTCTCAAGTTTAACAAGGTGGCATTCAAAACTAGGTTTAAAAGAAACAAAGATTAATTATGTTAGGTCATCTGTTTCCATGATTCCCCAAACCAAGTTCCTCTCTTGCATGTAGCAATAATAAGAAAAAGCCAAGCACCGGCAAGGTGGTCCCCACAGGATCACTGCCCCCAAGCCCCTAAGAGCTTGTCCCCAGTGAGATTCTAGTCTTACAAAAAAAAACAGAAGCATATTGTTTGTAAGCTAAAAGAATTGATGACAGACTGGTTTTGATTTAAGGGTGCTGCAGTATCTTATTATTAATTTTTGTATAACCACATGTATTCTATCAATTGAGCTAATCCGAATCAGGTACTGCAGAGGTGAAGACGACTCTCTCAACTCGATTTATTCCATTCGCAAACTCCAAGATGTTGTATCTTATTAATAGTGAAATAGATCATTATACATTGTAATTTTTATATATATATCTTGCTACATTAATGGTTTTTGCTTGGGTGGATGAGGTATGGACTTAATTCTGTGCTTTTAAGAGGCTCAACCATATATAGAGGTTAGATGTTCGATGAAATATTATTAAACCACAGAAGAACACAGCATTTAAAGTTAAAACCATAATAGATAGCTTTGATTTTTTTTCCTGAGTTGATGCACCTAAACGGTTGAATTCTAGCTTGCACCTCACCCACCCTATATATTGACTTACAACACTTGTTTAACACAGTTGCACACTCACCTACTCATCATATTCCATTTCTTTCTTATGAAATTGTGATAGTTGGTACACATCATCAATATGGACAACGCACAACAAAAATCTAAGACTGGCCCAAACTAAACCAAAAGTCTGGGCTTATATATAAAGCTTAAGCAGGCCCTTCACAGTCCTTGGCTTAGGTTTTGGGTAAATTATGCGTTTAGTATATAAGCTATCAATTTTGATCTGTTTTAACACCTAAACTTTATCAATTTTTTTGAAGTCTTGCCTAAAGTTTAGTTTTTGTTTCATTTTAGTTTACACCGTTAAAAACTTTAGTTTATGTTTCACTTTAGTACCCCGTTCAAAATTTACCGTTAAGTTTAAAAAAAAGTGAAAGTTTAGGTACTAAACACCTTAAGCTTTTAACGACATGTACTAAAATAAAATGAAAAGTAAACGTTAGATATGCTTTTGAAAAAATTAAAAATTTAGGTACTAGAATGGACCAAAAATGATAGTTTATATACTAAATGTATAGTTTACCCTAGATTATATATGGCACGAGGATGATTTAATAGAGTGGGTATTTGATTGAGTTGAGTCGAATTAAGAAATTTTGAGTTATTTAAATTGATGAGTTGTATTTTATGATTCAAACTTAATTATTTTTTATTTTTTATTTTTTAATTTATTTTTTAAGAAACGAATTCGAAATTATAAGCCACTTAAGTTGTCTTTTAAACAAGGATTTTATTTGTGGCCTAAATAAATGTTGTGAGGTCCAATTGTTTTTAAGTAGCAAAGTCTAGTTGATAATAATTAAAAAAGGCCTAAGATTTTTCCAAGTTAACATTTTATTATAAAGTACATAAATTTTATTATAAAATACACATGATTTCGACTGCTTATGATTATTAAAAATGATAAAGTGATGTTTTATTATAGGATATTACTTTTTGAGTTTCTCGATTATTAATAAGTGTAAAATAATCATCGATTATTTATATATTTTAAATTCGTCATTTTTATTTAAAATATCATGACAATAAGAATTAGATGTTAATCTGCTGACTGTGATATGATAAAATAATATTATAATCTCAAATGATAACACAATTCAAATATTTATAGAATTATATTTTATCATATCTCAAGACTTTAACATTCAATTTAGACTATCGTCAAATAATTATTTTTTAATAATTAATAGATTCAACAAAAAAAATATTTTAACAAAAAAATATTTTATAATTATAGTCTAAGAATAAAATAACATTCTATAGTATTAGTTTACTTTATCCTATGTTTTTATCAGAAATTAGATCTTTCTTTTAGTTGATTTTTTCCATCCCAAGACTTCCTCTTCAGATCGTTGAGAAATCCTAAGACTCGTATGCTGTAATCAGGTAATCCTATAAAACAATTTGTTTATTTTTTCTTTTTGTAAATATGCTTATAATTATTTGAAAATAATCGTCAATTTTCTTTGCAACGTCGTGGAAATTCTTAAGAATATGAAGTTTTCTCCTCATACGAATTTCGGGGTTTTGTTGGAATCCCGGAAAAAAATTACATTTCTTTGCTAGATCGTGATGATGTTAGTTAGATGGGTTGTCTTTAGTTGCGTTATTTACCATTTGATTGGAAAAGACTAATTGGCTTGATCTTGCTCTGGATCAGTGATTTGTGAGTAGTGAAGGTCTGAATTCTAGAATAAAGTTATGTTTTTTTTGGGTTAATTTTACTGGTTTGAAATGATAACTTTGGAGCTCAAAGTGTTGTGTTTTCATCACTGTGAACACAGCCGCTTCACATGAAGTACCGTGTGATTCATCAGTCTCTTTCTCCTTTCTATTCTATGTTTCACTTTCAGTTACCATTAACCCCAAGGCCATGAACTGAGGTAGTATCCTTTGCGGCTTTTCCAGCCAACTTCTTGACTTCATTTAACAAGAGTTGCTTAATTTTCCTGCACTAAATATTCGCCACCACCAACGTTACCCGATCCCGTCATTTTCCCCACAAAGTACATGTGAAAAACCTCTATTCTTTATACATTCTCCCCGAGTGCAGGCAACACAGACACGTTGGAAACTGGAGCCAGTGTCCAATGCATTCTGTAACTGCACCTCATAAACTTTGTTTCCAAGTCTCTAGTCCGGACCAGAACATATGATCTTATACCCAAGCCCTTAAGGCAAATAAGGATTTTCCTAAACAACAGGAGATGCTTGGGCTTTTGTTTTAAGTTTCCAGCTTCTCCTGCAGATAAGACAACCATTTGAGATTTAAAGTTGTTTTCTCTAAGAATAGAAACTGCTAAACCAACTCTCAGGGGATGGTGCAATCGGTGGGGGAGTACTTATTTAGAGATTGTTTTAGGAATGCAGCTTTTGTTTGATTCTTGTGATCTAAGCTATTTGGATTTATTGCAATTAAATTCTTCAATTCTAAGGGAGAGATCTGAGACCGGACTCAACTGCTCTGGCCAAAGGGCTTTTCATAAACAAATGGTCAAGGATCACCAAATCTTTATTGCAGAAGAAAATAAACCCAATCAACTAATTTATCGGAATTAAATTCTTCAATTCCTAAAAATGGAGTTAACTGTGAAGTGCATGCATACTTTCCCTGCGTCTCACATATGTGGTAGCTGATTCATTTTTGTCTGCAGTTTTCTAGCAACCAAACAGAAAACAATTTTTTATTTTCCTGCAGAAAATGATCGGGGCTGGGAAGATAAAGCAATACTCAAACATCCTTGAGAAGCCCCTCAACAAGGGAAAACAAGAGGTTCCCTCTACTTCCTCTGATATGTATCAAAATATGATATGAAGTTTAAACCAGAGACTTGATTTTTCTTTTTCCTTGGTTTAATTATTTAAGCAGTATATTCATATTGTTAGCCATTAAATTAGTTGAAAATTATGACCTAATTACGCAAATTAGTCTCGGAATATTAAAAAAATAAGTCCATTGAGAAAATTATTTAGAAAATAGAAAATTTTACATAAACCAAAACAGGAGTAGGTTTTATTGGGAGTTTTTTTTAATCCATTTTGGAGTAAAAAATTCAAACTGTTGACTGTTGTGCTTCTGGTGCAGGTTAGCTTGAGTGCATTTGCATTCTTGTTTTCTGAGCTTGTTCAGTACAATCAAACACAGGTTGACAACATTGCTGAATTAGAAAGAAGGTATTTTTTTTATGTTTGAGATCAGATAATTTATATAAGATTTCGAAAATTGGCCAAACATCCTTGTTTCACATTAAAGCAAATGCTGGGATGATGCTTAGTTCAGTCAATGATTCTTTAATTGTCAATGAATCTTATATCATTCATGGTAATTGATCAGGCTGGAGGATGCAGGGTATGCAGTTGGGGCTCGAGTTCTTGAACTTTTATGCCATAGGGATAAGGTACAACACATTCATAGACTATACTGAGACTGCTATAGCAACAAGGTTCTCTTTTTATTCTTCAGTAGCATTCTTGAGGTATTACTTGAAAGTTGGCCGTCCACCTTGTTAAAGTAGTCTTGGTTCTTATAATTAATTAGGTGAGAAAATTTTGATGTAATATAAGGACGCTAGCCTAACTTACCTTAGTTTGCATGGTGCTGATAATTCAATTAAGTTTGCTTTTATATTTTATTTCTCGGTTTAGCAATGTGTTTCCATACATATGTGCTTATATGTGCATATTCCCTTTTATGCCCCAGGGAAACAGAAGGGAGACGCGATTGTTGGGTATTTTATCTTTTGTGCACAGCACTGTTTGGAAGGTGTTATTTGGAAAGGTAACAATCTCGTCTACCGGTAATTGATAATTTGATGATATTTTCATGCAGAATTTGTTAAGTCTCCTAGAAGTTTATAGGCGTGATAAACCTAGCTGGCTAACATGTTTGGCATGTGCTTAAAATCAGTTTAGTCTCAAGTTTAGTGCTTGTCTTACCGCTTACCAGCTCTTTTTTGTACTATGTTAGGTGGCTGATTCACTTGAAAAGGGCACTGAACATGAAGATGAATACATGATCAGTGAAAAGGACCTCCTTGTCAACAAGTTATGCACTTTTCATCACTCATCTCTTGTAATGCAATTGTTTCTACCAACTTGACCTCTTGTTCTATATTAATAACCAACTGTTTTGTTTGCGTTGTAGGTTTATTTCAGTTCCAAAAGACATGGGGACATTTAATTGTGGGGCATTTGTTGCTGGAATAGTGAGGGTAAGTGCTGCATTCATTTTGTGTATAAAATGACTAATTGTCTGGTGGAAGTTCTCATAGGATTTTCTTGTTGGTTTTTGAAGGGTGTTTTGGATGGGGCAGGATTTCCAGCAGTAGTAACAGCACATTTTGTACCCATGGAGGGGCTGCAAAGACCTCGGACAACTATTTTGATAAAGTTTGCTGAAGAGGTAAGGACTACTTTTATGCTCTTGCATCTGATACTCCTTCATTACTTGAAGTCTGGTTTTCCCAAGTGTAGTTTGGATGCTTGGTTTTATGTTTATGGTTTATGTTACTTGGTTTTATGTTTATGGTTTATGTTACTTGGTTTGAAGTGTACTTCTTAATTTGTTTAGGACCGGTGGTTTATTCAAAATTTTAAATCTCAATGGGATCAAAATACCAGCTTACCCAAAGATTAATATGAAAATACGGGTGAAGGGTAAATAAGCACTAAGAGAGTTACTTAAGATATGAGTAAGAAAAAAAATGAAGAAATCTAGGCAGATAACACAGGGCTTGGTTTCCAACACTTCAACAAGATACAATATATTTCTGTCCATGTTTTCTTAATAAAATACAGCCAGTTATGCGTGCGTTCTTTTCCTTTGAATAACTTGTGGAACTGCTGCTGTCCATTTCCCCAGTAATCTACTTCAATTCCTATCATCATCATCATAGCCAGTTATGCATGCGTCCTTTTTGTTTCCCCTGCTATATTTGAAGAAGGATATGTTGCCTGGACACAAAGGCGACTGGTACAGGATATGGTTGTTGGACATGAATACTTTATAGAAAATGAAGAGTCAGAACAACATAAGAAAAAGGAATCCAATGTGCAACATGTAGCTATTAGTTTCCATCAGAATATGTTATTTACTGCTTGTTTTGCATAACGTTCTATTGTTGTCTGCGTCATAAAAAGGAACCCAATGTGCAACATTGGCAAGGGTTCTTATTTATATTGATGTATATACTGGATATAAAGATTAATCCTGCTCCTTTATTTCTGCTTTAACTAGGTTTTGCAAAGAGAAGCGAGGTTAGGTTGATTCTCGTGCCTGGGGCTATCTCAAATCACGTCTGCGACACTAGGATGTGAAGAGTGAAGTTCAGCTGCTTCCTTAATCTAACGAGGATTAGCCGCTGGTGATGGTTTGTGTATTAATTTTGAACGGCACAGTGATTGCAAAAGATTCCTGCAAGCAATGTACAAGTAAAATGTCATCATTAGCATATGGATTATTACGGATGAGAATACGTGTTTGTTTGTTACAGTGGAACTTTTTTATTGATGATTTCTGAATAATGAAATTGTTTTCTTGGAAAGTTGATTCCAAATCATCTTTTGTATTTTTTTCCAAGAAAATTTGTCGTGAGTGATATGAAAGTGTCAAAAGTAAAGCTGCAATAAATGAAAAGGAAGACAAAGCCAGTGCTTGCTGTATATACGTACAATTCACCGGAAAAATAATTGATTTTTATATTTAGTATTGCTATTTGCTACGAAGGCATAATAACAGTAGCAGGCGATGAAAAGGTGGAAGAGGAAAAATTCAGGCCGAATATAAGTTTGATAAACATTTATATTCGAAATGGAAGTATTGCTTTCATAGCTCAGTTGGTTAGAGCACCCGTTTTGTAAGCCGGTGCTCCTGGGTTGGGCCGTGGCAACAATCGAGATTTGCGCTTCTAATTTTCTCCGTTTTAATGATTTCAGACCCGAAAAACCCTAGAGTCAGAAAAGATTGTATATTTGTTCCTCACTTTGCATCCCTCCGCCACCCAGCCAGATTAGCCTTCAATTTCTCAATTCTCAGGTCAGCGCCCCCTCCCCCGTTTTTCGGGTTTTGTTCTTTTTCTGTAACTTTTAGTTTTATATTAGCTGAAATATCCGATTGTTTGACTTTGCCTCTTTCTCTTTTGCTACCTGGAAGCAGAACCTCCGATCCCATCTTCAGCTTAAAAAAATGTCAGGGTAAGTGACAACTCTGTCAACATTCAAGGCCATTTTTAGTTGAATATCCCATGGTTGTTTCCATGAAATTCGTTCCTGTTGTTTGTTTTGTTTTATTATCTCTGTATGGATTCAATTTGCTTGAATTTTCTCGCAGTAGACTTTGGGTTTTGTCTGCTTTTGTGTGGGATAAAGTGCCGTGGTATCCATTGTATCCTAATTTGGATCGCACTGTGTTCTTTTAGATAATTTACCTACTTGTTTGTTAGTAATACAAAAGTATCTTGAGATCTTACTGGGTGTTTGTTTTTGCATCGGTAGGAATGCGAGATAGTTTTTCCAATTGTCCCATCTTGAGATTGAGTCTTATTGAGATTCCATTTTGTTCGAACTCATAAATTTAACCACCAACTTTCATTTCTTAGAATGATTGCTTCGTCTGCCTCTATTTATGCCGTGCTATTGCCTATGGCTTTTGCAGAGAAGAAGTTGCAGCTGCCCAACCTGAGGCACCAGCTGCTCGTGGTGAGCCAATGGACATCAACACTGCCTTGCCTCTTGTGGTGAGGAAGTCACAAGCTAACGGTGGACTTGCTCGCGGCTTACATGAAGCTGCCATGGCAATTGAGAAGCACAACGCTCATCTTTGAATTCTAGCAGATGACTGTGATCAACCTGATTATGTTAAGCTGGTCAAGGCACTCTGCGCTGTCCATAATGTTAAAGTGCTATGTGCACCTAGTTCAAAAACACTTGGCGAGTGGGCTGGTGTGAGTAATATTTCATTACTTGTTTATGTTTTTTTTATTATTTCCTTGCATTTGCTGGCATGCTGAGAATACCATCTGGTGCTATAAGCTTATTCCTTGTTAGTTTTAGAAATCTCCTAATGCATTTTTTTGTTTCCTGTGATACTGTCTTCTTAACCTCTGAACCTGTGTTTGTATGAATAACAAGTAATGTGTCATGATCATGAGAGAGATAGAAATCGGAGAAGACGGAGGAGAATTAGGGAAATTGGAAATAGGGTTAGGGATTTCAATTAAAGAGAGGTTAGGGATTTTAATTAAGGGGAGGGGTACTGCCAGCGGTGAAGGAAGTCACGCCAACAGCACCCAACAGCACCAGCAAGGAATCTAACTGTTAGAGACAGTTGTATTGCTAGCTGTAAATGGTTGGTACAATGTAAATATATAAGCAATGATCTAGGTAGGGCTAAAGGCATGAAATGAATGAATGAAAACTTCTTTATGTAATCTCTCTTATTTCTTCTTCGATATTTCTTCTCTACTAAATCCAGTCCATAACAATTGGTAATCAGAGCCATCATTTCCTGGCAGCTTGAAGCAAAAAAATCAAGGCATGGCAGCCTCCATTAATCTTTCTTCGATTCAGAGGCAGCTTGACGATCTCACGAAGTTGATAAAGCTTACAACGGCTAAATCAACCCCTCCTAAATGGTGGCAGAAGCAGGACAGTTGGTTGAGTATGTTGGAATCAAAAATGGCGTCGCAGCAGAGAGATGTGGAGCACATGTTACAGATTCTGACTGGTAAAAAGTGTGAGCAAAAACATGATGATTCTCAGGTGTTCGATAAATTGCCAACATCAAAGCCATCAATTTGTTAGGCTGAGAACATCACTGCTTTTGGGGATGATATTGTGATTGTGGCGACATGCCGCACTCCAATTTGCAAGTCAAAGCGTGGAGGCTTTAAGGATACACCTGCAGATGATTTGCTTGCCCCTGTTTTGAAGGCTTTGATTGATAGAACAAAGGTGAACCCAAGTGAAGTGGGGGATATTGTTGTCGGTTCAGTGTTGGCTCGTGCTACACTCAGAGCAACACAGTTTAGGATGGCAGCATTTTATGTCGGGTTCCCCGATACAGTGCCTATTAGAACTGTCAACAGACAATGTTCATCGGGCCTACAAGCAGCTGTCGATGTTGCTGCTTCCATAAAAGAAGGATTTTATGATATCGGCATTGGTGCTGGATTGGAGAGCATGACAACGGATGGTTTAGTTTCTGGGTCAGAGGAAGTTAACCCAAAGACGGATAGCTTTGCCCAAGCCCGGGATTGTCTTCTTCCTATGGGTATTACTTCTGAAAAGGTTGCACAACGCTATGGTATCATACGGCAAGAGCAAGACCAGGCCGCTGTTGAATCACATCGGCGGGCAGCTGCTGCAACAGCATCTGGTAAATTCAAAGAAGAAACTATTCCTGTAGCCACAAAGATTGTGAATCTTAAAACTGGAGAAGAGAAGGCAGTCTTAATTTCAGAGGACGATGGTATCCGCCCTGATACAAACATGGCAGGTTTAGCCAAATTGAAGCCTGCATTTAAGAATGATGGAACCAAAACTGCTGGAAATGATAGCCAAGTGAGTGAAGGTGCAGATAGGTGTAAGTTCAATCCTGTCAAAATTGGGAGGGATAAACTTGTAGAAGATGATGACCCTTACAATTTTAGATTATTGCTAATGGGAATCAATCTTAAAGATGTGCGAGTAGAGGTCGAGAAGATAATTGGAAAGGGCAGTGGTTTTGTTGCTGTGGAGATTCCATACTATCTTGATGAAGCCACAGGATGGGGTTTGGAAGTCTCTGAGCTTAAGAAACAACTTGTAACATCCAGGTCCAAGGGCAGCACCGTTAGGGCCTTGGTTGTAATAAATCCAGGCAAACCAACATGACAGGTTCTTGCTGAGAAAAATCAGAAGGCAATCAAAGTTGTTGAAGCTGAGAAAAAGGCAGCAGATGCATACTACTGCCAACGTCTCCTCATTGCTAAACATCCGAAAATATTGAAAATGCATTCCATTTGCTCTCATGCCCTGAAATTGGAGTTTGTTCCTGATTGGATTGCTATTGTAGGAAGTGTTTATATTGGTCTTGAATTCAGTGATGTATACACTGCACTTGGCAGTGAGGTCACATTTATTGAAGCTCTAGATCAGCTTATGCCTGGATTTGATCCTGAGATTGGTAAGTTGGCCCAAAGGGTGCTGATCAACCCTAGGAAAATTGATTATCATACAGGAGTGTTTGCAACGAATATCACCCCTGCAAAGGATGGGAAACCAGTGACTATTGAGCTTATTGATGCCAAGACTAAAGAACCCAAAGACACATTGGAGATAGATGCAACCTTAATTGCAACCGGAAGGGCTCCATTTACTAATGGTCTCGGGTTGAAGAATCTTAATGTAGTAACACAAAGGGGTTTCATTCATGTTGATGAGAGAATGCGAGTAAATGATGCAAGTGGCAATCAGGTTCCTCACTTGTATTGCATCGGTGATGCAAACGGGAAAATGATGCTTGTTCATGCAGCAAGTGCACAAGGATCATTTCGAGGGAAGGAGAATGTCATAACTACATGGGAAGTCAACAAAGAAAGCAGTAGGAATCAGTTACTAAAACAACTTTTGAATCTGAAAATTTTTCAGAAGACTCAAGTAAGGCTGAAATTTTTTGCTAAAATAAAATTGACAGACAAAGGTATTAAGACAGAGGACAGAATTTACCTGAAGTTTCGGTCTTACCATCAAACCTCACTTGCTCTTCGAAAAGGATTAAGGCTGGCAGCAAGGGTCTATGGTACTGCTATCTATAGTTTTTGGTGGAGGTGTTTGGCAACTTGAGTTTTTTGGATGAAGGTGTATTTAACCTCAAGAAGCACAATCAGGCTATCACTCAATTGTTGCTGCAGTGGATGAACTTACGGTTGGAAAACGTCATTGGGGTAAACTATATTGTGCTTAAGGCACAATTGTTAGGTTTTGATCCTTGGGGACAAGGATCCTTTCATGAAGGGGGTATTGTCATGATCATGAGAGAGATAGAAATCGGAGAAGACGAAGGAGAATTAAGGAAATTGGAAATAGGGTTAGGGATTTCAATTAAAGGGAGGTTAGGGATTTTAATTAAGGGGAGGGGTACTGTCAGCAGTGAAGGAAGTCACGCCAACAGCACCAGCAAGGAATGTAACTGTTAGAGACAGCTGTAAATGGTTGGTACAATGTAAATATACAAGCAATGATCTAGGTAGGGCTAAAGGCATGAAATGAATGAATGAAAACTTCTTTCTGTAATCTCTCTTATTTCTTCTTCTAAAACCTATTTCTTCTTCGATATTTCTTCTCTACTAAATCCAGTCCATAACATAATGACATGAATTATTTTTCACCTACGTACCCCTTTGACTATGTAATGTGTTCCGTAGTGAATATCACTGCTTATTACGCCACCTAACTGACTGATTGAGATGCTAATTGTACTTCACCTCTTCAT